GTTCCTAAGGCGGAGCCACCCTTTCCTTAGAACAGGGCTTTGATGAATCTTTCAAAGGAAGCCTCTCTGAGGATTTTGTGTGGAGTTTGCATTGCCAATGGACACAGTCTTTCTTTAAATATGCTGATACTTTCAGCCAGCCGGCCTTAGCTCCGGAGCCATTCTTTCTCATTGAAGTAAATTTGCATCTCTTTGTTTTGATGGTTATTTGCTCATTTTGCTAGTCTAATGCTCAGGAAACAATCTAATTTGCCTGTTTTCCAAATTCTGGGTGAGCAGGGAGGAATCCACCACACTGCTGCCTCCATGTATCGCCGACCCGACCGAAATAATACATGAAATCCCAGAGGTCCTTGTTCCGTGCACTTGCGTCTGCCCTAAGGTCAGAAGAATCTGTCAGTGATACAATGGGGCAGTTTGTGGGATAGTGTAATGATTTCTTTTTGTACCTCCAAGCAGAAAATGATACGGGTCCGTTCTCGACATATCTAATTTTTCTTTAGGAACCTATCATAAAATACTTCTGCAAATTTTTGTAATCTTCCCTGAAAGAAGTTGAACTCTTTTATAACTTAGTGTTCCCTTACGTAACTGCTCTGGGGATAGGTCTCTTCCTTATTGTTTTTTTAATGGGTATTTATTTTTGAGAGAGAGAGAGAGAGAGGGAGAGTGCGGAAGAGGCAAAGAAGAGTGGGACAGAGGATCTGAGGTGGGCTCTGTGCTGAGAGCAGAGAGCCCAATTCAGGGCTTGAACTCACCAACCAGGAGATCCCAACTTGAGCTGAATCAGATGCTTAACAGACTGACCCACCCAGGCGCCCCTCTTGGGATAGGTCTTTTATGTTTAGTTGCCAGCTTTCTCTCAGTTACCCTAAAACTTATGTCTTAAAATTTTCAGGAGCCCTATCATGAGCCCTAGTTGTAGATTCAGATATTCTAAAGAAATTGCAGTTTCCCACCCAGATAGTACATGACCTTTAGACTTTTTTTTCAGATGTCACTAACATGTGGTCCCTTCCATCTTCATCTTTCCATCTTGAAGAGTCCTCAAGGTAGAAGGTCATTTGAGCCATGCCCAAACCTGAGTAGGTTTGCCTTTTTTACTAAAACTGCAGCACAGTTACTAATTATTTTGTGCCGCCTGTGAGCAGCAAAGGAGCTTTTAAAACCCCAACACAAAGTCTGAATCCTTGTGAACCTGGTGAACCTGAACCTATTGTTCAGTTTATGTTTATGGACGGGTAGGCTGGCCTTCAGAGAGAATGAATGAATCAAGGAAGCTGAGGCAAAAAAGAGTTCCTATAAAGAGTCCTTGGCTCTCCAGGCTGGAGGAAAATGTGGGAGGACTTTTAGAGGTTGAGCTTGGGGAAGAAGGGCCTGTCTTTGGGAACGTATCATTTTTGTGCCATTAGGAAGAGGGCTACGACAGTTCTGTACCAGGGGAATCTAAGTGATTCCATCCCCTCCTTTCTGCTTCCTGCCCATCCTTACCACGAGTTACTCACACCGTACAGGTGCCAGACATAAGCTAGTGAGCATTCGTGTGGAGTAACTTTACATGTATTATCTGATATCTAAGGACAGAATCAAGGAGTACCATTTTCTGCATTCATTTCTATAATTGACTGAGAAACTCGTTTGATACTAGTAAATAATAAATATACAACAGCTGTCTCTATGTAAATGGGCTTATGCTATGTGCTGTCCAAGTTTCAAAATAGATTGGCTAAAAGCATGCTATTTTCAAGTATGATACATATTTTTCCTTTAGTAAATTATTTCTAGCTCATTGAATAATGACTCTCAGTATTTCCAGAAGGTTTTGCTCGAGCATTTTTTCCACCTCTTGGATGTGGTCAAAAGGACTGAAAGTATTTATATTAAAGGCTGGCTTTTGGGGAGGCTTTTCCCTTCTCTACCCCTTCCTCATTGCCATTTACAGTAGCTCCCCCTTATCCACAGGGGCTACGTTCCAAGAACCCCAGTAGATGCCTAAAACCACAGGTAGTGTGGAACCCTGTATATACTGTTTTTCCCTATACATACAGACCTGTGATAAAGTTTAGTTTATAAATTGGGCACAGTAAGAGATTAACAAGAGCTAATATTAAATTAAAACAATTATATTGATGTACTATAATAAAAGTTATATGAATGTGGTCTCTCTTGCAAAATATCTGATTGTACTGTACTTACCCTTCTTCTTGTGATGATGAGATGATAAAATGTCTGTGTGATGAGATGAAGTGAGGTGGATGATGTAGGCATGTGAAGTAGCATTAGACCACCACTGACCTGATGTCAGGAGAATGAGCTCTGGACTGTGGTTGAGCAAAACCACATAAGGGAGGACTACATATTCCCAAACTACATAGAAACAAAGGGAGGGTGCTTGCTTCCTAAAGCTGGGTCTGCCAGGTTGACCATGGATTAGCAGACACTCAATCCAACTCACATATAAATTATATTTAATGAGAGATATAGGCACATTTTGATTATTCATAGGATGTGAAACAAGACCTCCAGACAAAGTCCTGGCTAAGCCTCAAAGAGCCCTGCTCATGGCTTCCCCTAGCACATTCTGGACAAACGAGAAATACCCCTTCCTGCCTCCCCCGCCCCACCCCCCCGGCCAATAGTCTTGTCTTTACTCCAACCCCCATCTCATGCCACTCTGGTCCTTGTTCATGTCACTTTTGCTCATTCCTCAAACACACTAACTTCATCGCTGCCTCAGGGCCTTTGCATTAACTGTTCCTTCTGCCTGCAATAGTTCTCCTCGAGCACTTTGAATAGCGAGCCTCTTCTCCTATTCAGGTCTTAGCTCAGGTGTCATCTCCTTCGAGATGGTCACCCTGTCCAGGCTAGCTCCTTCTCAGGGACCTGATCACATCATCCTCCAACTCAGGACTCAGCAAACTTTTTCTGTGAAGGGCCAAGTATTAAGTATCTTCAGCTCTTGTGAGCCATATAGTCTGTCACAAACTCTCATTGTAGCCTGAAAGCAGCCAAAGATAATATGTAAATGAATGGATGTGACAATGCTCCAGTGGGTCTTTATTTATGAACACTGAGATTTGAGTTTTATATAATTTTATATAATGTGTCACGAAATATTATTCTTTTAACTTTTTGTCCACCACTGAAAATGTAAAAACCATTCTTAACCTATAGGCTATACAAAAACTGGATTTGGCCCATGAGCTGTAGTCTGCTGCTCTCTGTTCGATAGCATTGTCCCATTGTATTTTCATCTTGCTGATTGAACCTATCTTATTCATTTGTTTATTTGTTGTCTATCTTTCCTTGAAAGCTCCTTGAAGTCATGTTCTTTGTCTTATTCACTGTATTATCTCTGTCAACTAAATCAGTGCCTGGAATATAGAGGTACTTTATAACAGTTTGGTGATTGAATGAATAAATCCATACAGCCCATGAGCCACAAAATCCAGTAAAGCATTTCTTCTAAATATTTTCTATGCAGATTCTGTTGCAGGTGCCACACCCGCCCAGGTCTCTGCCTCTGTCTGACTGTTCCTTAGTGCTTTCTCAAGACTTCCTGACCCCCTGTCTCTCACTCCTGGCTGCCCCGCAGAATAGTGCCTTGATGAAGCATGCCTTCTGTTATATCAGTTCTCTGCAAAACCCAAAACCTTTCCACTATTTTACCATTACCTACAGTATCAAGTCAGACTCCTCAGTTGGGCATAGGAGGCCTTGCCTAATCAATCTCCCACCTGCTTTTCCAACCTTATCTCTAAGCCTTCCCTCAAATGAGTCCTCTGCTCCGGCAGCCTCGTCTCCTCATTGTCCCCGAGGCCACTGCTCATTCCCACCTCTGCTCCTTTGCTCCGACTGTGCCCCAGAACAAGTAGGCATTCCCCTCAGGAAGGAATTGAGCCCCTCTGTAGCTATAAGGGAAGTGGGCAGTGAGTGATGGGAGACAGGGAAGAATGGAGCTGAGCCTCAGCAGAGCTGCAAGATGAGACATGAAGGTGAGCATCCCTGACTCAGTTGGTAATAAAACGAGTTAATTCTCGGGGAATAATTGAAAAGTGCTGCTTGGTAGGATGGTCTAGGCCAATGCTTTTCAAACTAGTGTGCAGACAGATATTGGGGGAATCTTGTTAAAATGCAGATTCTGGCAGTAGGTGTGGAGTGGGGGCCTGACACTGCTCCCAGATGATGCCCCTGCTTCTGGTTCCAGGATGATTCTTTTGAGGATCGGGGAGCTAACAAAATGCTTAGGAAAGAAGCCTTTCCCATAGGACTCAGCTATGGGAACAGGAAGTCAGGTCTTCCTCAGAGACCTGCCTATCTGTCATGAGGCCAAGACTCGTAGCCTCCAATCAAGGCTTTCCTTGCCTTTTACATGGCCGAGTACGTGTATGGTGATCTGAACATCCTTGCTGAAGAGAACCGAGCACAAAGCCGAGTATTTAAGGAAGAAGCGCCTGTACGTCCTGAGATGGTGGCAGTGAGAGATCATCTGGAAATGACAAGTCTAATGTTGGCTGGGCCACAGGCCATCACACACGCGTGCTCACACACATACACGCTCACGCACACATACATAGAACACGCACGCATAGAGTGTGGGCTGGATGTGGTACTTCTCCCTTATGCAGTTGATTATCTTTCCTCCAAGGAGGCACCTCTTTTCCACTAGAGCTTACAGGTCAGAATCCAGGTTTGGCTTGAGTACAAGTAATATACTTCATCCTAACAAACAGTAGGAATCACTTCTGTAATGTGTATCTCCAAACAGAAGAACGGGCAGGGAAGTATTTTATTGGAGTGATACATTTGCCTGTTTGAGCAGTTTGTCTTTAATTATTACCCTGGCCTTTCTATCTTTGGCTAATCAATAGCAGGCCTTCTGATGAAAGTGGATGCTATTTCCTAATTGTTTAACTTTGTGCAAACTACAAGTTATCCTGTTGAATGATTTTAATGCCACATCTCTCATCACAGTAATTTCCCCTCTGCTTTTATCACAGAGGAACTTCTGCTTGGGTGACTGAACTCTGCTCCTGATCTAGAGTCATGGCCATGGTAAGTTGGGGAGTGTCTCACCGTACCTGGTGCCAGCCACAGACAGGTACAGGATGTGTACACAGGGACTGTTGACTTTACAGAAGGTTGTTTGCCTAACAGAGGGGAGAGAGAAGGAAATGAAAAGGCAGTCTCCTTTTTTTGTTTTAAGCACTATTTTAATTTCTTTCAGGGGTGATGGGTAACTTCACCCTGAAAATTAATTCAAAAAGATAATCCTTTGAATCTGTCTGACACCCTGAGATACAGAAATAAGTTGTAGTTTTCTCTCTGCGGGAGCACTACATGTTCACTGTGGGAATTTTCTACAAATGAAAAAGAAACACCAAGAAGCCCGCAGGCTCTAACATGGGGAGACAAGTGCCATCCACATTTTGCTGTAACCTCATCAGGCTTATCAAGGGTGTATGCTAGCCGTCTGGGCTTGTCATCTGCTTCCTGTGTTTGGCTATGACCGGACTCCTCAGAGCTGCATTATCTGATCTTTGGGACAGGCAGGGAATTGGATCCCTCGGAGAGTTCCACAAAGTTCAATGCTGATGTGGAAGCTGAGCCCCTTTGCTGCAAACAGGCTCTACCTGAGGCTGGCCATCTGTTCTCCTTCTCTCACCCAAGTAAGGTATCTGAACAGGCAGGTGATTCTGATTCCTGATCTTCTCAGAAGGAATAATAGCAGTAGAATCTTACACCTGGAGAGGACCTAGAGCTCCCTTCAGCTTTAAATGGCCTCTTTTAGAAAGATAGATGTGTAAACTATCTTGAACAAATGGTAATATACTCATAACATTGTTTTACATTAGACATCTAGAATTTTCTTCATCATCCCTGACTATCAAAACCTTACTCATATCTACTCCAAATCTCTATGCATTCTTTCAAAATTCATTTCCTCTAGGGACGCCTGGGGGCTCAGTTAAGCGTCCGACTTCGGCTCAGGTCATGATCTCACCATTCATGGGTTCGAGCCCTGCATCAGGCTCTGTGCACACAGCTCAGAGCCCGGAACATGCTTCAGATTCTGTCTCCCTCTCTCTCTGCCCCTCCCCAACTTGAACTCTGTCTCTCTCTCGCTCTCAAAAATAAATAAACATTAAAAATTTAAAAAAAAAAAAGAAAGAAATATTTACGGTATCCTGACTTTGTGTCAGATGTGGTACTCAGCTCAGGGGACTCAAAGTTAATGGGATAGTCTTCCTGTCTGCAACAAACTCACAGGCTTCTGACATGCAAAGCCTGTAACCAAATGACCTTTTAGAGTGCTTTCCACTAGAGGACAATTACCTCAGTTCCTCTCATCTTTCCTCCTAGGACCTCTTTTTCCAACATCACTGTTATTTATTGGACAGATAAAGGACATTTTTAAAGAGTAAGGAATTGTTTTCCATCATTTTACTTTAGATCCTACTCACATGTATAATATATACTCACATGTATAATAATTTTTAAACAGTAGTGATAATAGCATAAATAACAATTGTTTTCATTCTAATCTTCACTTTGCTAACATGTTTATATTTTGTGGCATATTAAAATCATTTATTCTAGGTGGTGGAATTATGTCTGTTTTAATTTTCTTCTTCTTTTTTTTTAATTCCCCATATCTCTACAATGACCATATGATACATTTCTAAAAACAAAATATTTTTGTTTTTAAGTTTATTTTATATTTGAGAGAGAGAGAGAGAGTACAAGGCGGGGGGGGGGGCAGAGAGAGAGAGAGAGAGAGAGGGGCACAGAATCCAAAAAAGGCTCCACACTCTGAGCTGTCAGTGCAGAGCCTGATGTGGGGCTAGAACCCACGAACCATGAAATCATTACCTGAGATGAAATTGGACACTCAACCGACTGAGCCACCCAGATGCTCTGAAAAAAAATTTCTTTTTAATTAAAAAAATTTTTTTTTTCCTGCGTGCGCGCGAGAGAGACAGCGTGAGCAGGGGAGGGTCAGAGAGAGAGGGAGACACAGAATCCCAAACAGGCTCCAGGCTCTGAGCTAGCCGTCAGCACAGAGCCCGACGCAGGACTCAAACCCACAAACCGTGAGATCATGACCTGAGCCAAAGTTGGACGCTTAACCGACTGAGCCACCCAGGTGCCCCTGAGAAAATATTTTTAAAGCTACTGTATTCAAATATTTAAAACATTTTTAAAATAGATGTTTAATTTACATATAGTGAAATGCAACACTCTTAAGGTTGGAGTAGATGAATTTTGACAAACATAGGAACCATATAACCTACTCCTCTATCAAGATAGATAGAACAAGGGCACCTGGGTGGCTCAGTTGCTTAAACATCCAACTCATGATTTCACCTCAAGTCATGATCTTACGGTTTGTGAGATTGAGCTCTGCATTAATCTGTGCTGTCAGTGCAGAGCCTGCTTGGAATTCTCTCTCTCCCTGTTTCTCTGCCCCTCCCCTGCTCGTGCCCTCCTTCCCCTCAAAATAAATAAATAAATAAATGATTTTTTTAAAGAAGCTAGAACATTTCCTTACTCCAAGAAGTTCCTTTATGCCTCTTCTGAGTCAGTCCCCACCCTGCTCCCACTCCACCCCAGAAGTACAACCACTGTTCTGATTGTTATTACCATAGATTAGGTTTGTCTGTTCTAGAACATTCTATCAATGGAATCATAGAGTATGTATTCTTTGTGTCTGGCTTCTTTGCTGGTTATTATATTTTTGGCAATCCATCCTTGTTGCTATAAGTAATGGCAGTTTGTTCTTTGATTCCTTTTTTATTGCTGATTAGTATTTGTTGGGGGATCATCATCAAAAAGGACATGACCACTGACTGACCCGTGAGCTAGACCTGGCCAATTGGAGGCTCCTCACTCCCTCCACTGCCTCTGGAATGTGGGTTCCACCTACCTTTCCTGCTCCCTGAAGCTGCTCCAAGGATATAGCCCTGAGATGGCAATGTGATGTTTGAGACACCTGCATGGTGTACGTGACTGAGCCCATTTAGGACCTCTTTATAAACTTTTAAGATTTGGAGGATTAGTTCAGGGATCAATTTGTCTTGGTGCAGCCCAAGACGAGTCTCATGTGTAAGTTCCCTTTGCTAATGGTAAAAGTGCCACCTGCAGACATGGAGGGGCTTGCCTCTTTCTTTCCTTGGTCTCTCCCTGCCCTCTGCCTATGAGGCTCAGCTTCAGATTATACCCAGAAGGCTCCTGAGGTGGTTGTGAAGCTACAATCTTCCACTGTATCATATTCCAATTTTTGACATTATTACCTTCCTGATTATTATAATAACTGAGTAATACTTCATTGATTGTGATCCTACACCTATTTCTAGCTGCTCATTTTTATTATTCTTTCCTACATCCTCCCTGTTTCCTTTGTCTGCTATCACAAGAAGACTTCCTGGGACAGACTCCCTTGCCTTCCTGGAACAGATAATGGTGCATTTTGCCCTGGAATTTGATCAATACAGGGACTTTAGGGCTACCCAGAACAAATTTTCTGAGCTTACCTTTTTCTGGGAAGAATGAGTCACTTAGAATGTTAACTGATAAGCTGAAACATCTTTGCAAATCCCTCTATCGATTCATCTTGTTAGATATTAATTTTAACCCCACAGTAGCATTCCTCAGCAATGCAGTTTGTGTTAAAGTCCAATGCAGTGTTTGGGCACCATCCAAAATTTTTTCAATACTGAAGCTCCAAAAGAACCCTGTGAAGTATTTCACTCAGAAAGCTATCTCATAGTGGAGCCAGTGGCTAGGTTAGACCATGTTGGAATTTTGACAGCAAATCATCAATTTTCTTATTAGTACTGATGCATAGTAGAAGAATTAAAGTGCCTGTTTTCATTTCCTAGGGCTGCCATAACCAAGTCCTACAAATGGAGTAGCTTAAAATAATAGAAATGTGATGTCTTACAGTTCTGGAGGCCAGAAACCCAAAATCAAGGTGTTGGCATGGCCAGGATCCCTCTGAAACCTGTAGGGGACTCCTTCCCTGCCTCCTCCTAGCTTCTGGTGACTTCCTAGGTGGTCTTGGGCACCCTTCGGCTTGCCACTGTTTAACTCCCGTGGTGTCTTCATGTACCGTTGTCTCCTTTTTAATCTTTTATTTTTTTAATGACTTTTTAAGAGAGAGAGAGGGAGAGAGAGAGACGGAGAGGGAGAGAGCGAGCATGAGCAGAGGAGGAGCAGAGAAAGGGAGACACAGAATTCAAAGCAGGCTCCAGGCTCTGAGCTGTCAGCACAGAGCCCAATGTGGGGCTTGAACTCACAAGCTGTGAGATCCTGACCTGAGCCAAAGTCAGATGCTTAACTGACTGAGCCACCCAGGTGCCCCATGTTTTTTGGTTTTTTTGGTTTTGTTTTTTTTTTTTTACATACTGTCTTCTTATAAAGACACCAGTCATATTGGATTAGGGGCTCACCCTACTCCAGAGTGACCTCATCTTAATTTAATTAATTATATCTGCAATGACCCTATTTCCAAACGAGGATACATTCTGAGGTACAAGGCTTAGGACCTCACCGTACCTCACCATATCTTTTGGGGCAGTTACAATTCAGCCTGTAACCGTGCCCAAGGAAGTTAACGTCATTGATTTCTACTTCCCTCTGTCAGATGTATAGAGGGAAGTGACTAAGTATTAGATGCTGATTATATTAGATATCTAGGAGGTAAAAGTTTGGACTTTCAGCAAAGAAGACCCAACTCTCTGGTACCTAAGACCTTTGGATGGAGTTGATGTGGGCCACAGTGAGCAAAGTCTGACTTACTAGAGAACTACCCCAAGGCCATAAAAATCTTCTATCCCTTTATTTTATTTTTGATGTTTATTCATTTTTTTGAGAGAGACAGAGCGCAGTGGGGGAGAGGCAGAGAGAGAGGGAGACACAGAATCCAAAGTAGGCTCCAGGCTCTGAGCTGTCAGTGCAGAGCCCAACATGGGGCTTGAACTCACGAACCGCGAAATCATGACCTGAGCTGAAATCAGACACTTAACCGACTGAGCCACCCAGGGGCCCCCTCT